GGATGCCTCCAGTAAAGCACATTCACATGAAAATTACTCTCAATTAAAAACACTGATCATTTATTGAACAGGATGGAAAAACTCATTTATTACAGTAATTAAGATAAAAGATTTTACAAATTTAAAATTTAAATTTGTTAAATTAAAAATTAATAGTTTTTAATACATGAATATAATTTATATATTTTTATCTGGAGTCCACTTATAATTTTCCGTAAAGTGTATTCTATATGTCAGATGGACGTGTGGCGTGGAGCGTCGATGCGTCTCGGTTTCCTCTCAGGCTCGGTTCTGACTGGTGGAATATTTTTTCCTGCGTTCAGTCAGCAGCCGTTCAGTCGGGCTCCCAGAGCGCTCGGCGCTGGTTGTCCTTTAAGAGCGAAGCAGAATGCCAGGGGAGCGCCCAGAGACCTGTGGAGGTCACGGCCGTCTGCTATATTTACCGGCTCTGTAACCCGATCCGTGGCATTCTGCACAGCTGCGCTCACACCGTCTTTCCTCTGGGTCCACAGTGTCCTGAGCAGCGCCCCTACTGCTTTCTCTCCGCAGACCCAACCGCTCAGAACAACAAGGGTGAGCCTTTTCAAAGCCATTGTAACCTCAGCGTTTTTCCTGCCTTTACCTCCCTGCAGGTGACCCGCCGGGTTCCGGACTGCTGGTGGTTTGGTCCTCTGTAACCATCAGTCCGGCTCCAGGCCCAGGATCCAACTTTTAGACACTTCTAGGTTTTTGCTGATCACTAGAAGAAAATGAAAACCGTTTCCTTCAGCTATGATGGTCGTTGGCTGCTGCTGCATTTTTTTTCTAACATCCTCTTCATCTGGGCAGGAAAAAAAAGCTTTTAATGGACCTGATTGTTGGATCATCGTTCTAATAATCGTTCGTTCTTTTAAAGCTGAATTTATCTCCTTGAAAGTTAAGCTGCCTGCTTCATTGCTTCTCTATTTATGGGCCTGGCAGCTAATAGTTCCTCTAAATCTATATTTGTCACATGAGGAGCTTTTCTGACACGTTAGCCGTCTTCCTGCGGTTCCTCCAACTCACATCATGTCATCTCAAGTCACTTTCCAGCTAACCAGATCATCCATTGATTCAAAGTTTTCTATCTAAGGAAAACCAGCTGATTGCATCGACTCATTGACTCTTCAGCAATCCCTCACACTAAGCATGCTTGTAGCGACAGTGGAGAGGAAAAA